AATTGAACTCATTGAGAAGTTTGGTGCTCGTATTGCACAGAAAGGAGTGTGTGCTGAAATTTTTTGACAATTTCCGCTCGAGGATTGAAGAATTCGCGCGGATTTACCTGTACATTGATTTGTTGAAAGAAAATGAAGTGATCCTCGAGCTTTTTTGAGAATTTCATTTCAAATCAGCTGAATGACTGCGAAGACGTCTGTTTGCATTATTGTCGTTCTGCCGCTGCGTTTCACTTCTACTACGATGCTTTTGCCAGGACTTCAACCAAAATCTTGAGAATGGCAATCAACGTGGATCACCTTGAAGAGATCGTGCAATCGATCGTTGAAAAGGGGATCCCAAGCAAGAATTCGAAGGCAGCTTTTTATGTGTATGACAGCGATTATCTGAGAACCGATGCTTCTCTCAGGAGATTAAGGCCCGAATCGTCGATTTTCTTTCGCAATCCCCTGGAATGGAGCGATGCGACGGAGAAAATAATCAAGAGGTCATCAAAATGGGGACCGAACTCGTGGACAAGTATTTCGTCGGATCCGGCTGGTTGTTGGACGGTCCATTTTTTCGACGAAACATTGACTCGAGCAGAGATTGTGTCTACATGCTTCCCTTACGCGGCGATTCCTGTAAACTTTTCGCCTTCTACATTGAACCACAATAGAAAATTATCGTGTTTTGAGGGATTTTATCGAGTCTTTTACAGTTTTAGTGCTTTTATTGTGTAATTTTGCCGTTTTTTAGTTCTCTAAGAAATAAAGTTGTACAATTTCTTTTTTTGAACAATGATTTGTTGTGTTAAAGACACATGGCGATATCTTTTTTGATTATTTTATTGTGGAAATTTTAATGTTTCCACTACAGGAATCGAGTCGATTGCATTGACATCGGTTGTGACGGTGATTCGAGTGGTGAGAATCTCTATGCTTCCATCACCCATGGGTCAAGCTGCAAAGCTGGGTCTTATTGCACTTTTAAACTTTTCAATCTACATCTTTAATTTTTTTCTTTAGAAAAGAAATGATATGCTCGACGAGTTGCTGTGAAAAGTGTGCGTCGAACGGATCAAAATCGATTCGTAAACCGGGTGCGATGATGGGGAGAACGTGAGCGAATCGAAGTCCCTGATCGAGGATGTTGATGTGATGGTGGGGTTTTTGAGTGAAAAGTTAAGGGGGTGCATTAATCACGGCCGGATTTTAAAGAATTTTCGTGTCATTTCAGCATATCCGATTCATGTTACTTTGGTCTTTGATGACTTGTTGTGGAAGCGGATCTTCTATGCCGTGTGCCTCGGTGTATTATGTGTGTTTGTGTAGCTTGTATGGAATCAAAACCTGTAACGGCGAAAGCGGTTTTTCTTGTTCCTTTGTCGGGTTCCACGTCGAGGTTCACAGGATGCCGAGTGAATAAAATAACTTGAACTTTTTAAATTTAGATTCCCGTGCCTGAAGGGAGGTCCAATGGAATGGACGGTCTCGACCGGTCGACACTGACGTCTTTGTTTGCCCGAACATGCACCCTTTGGTCGAGATGAAGGCAAGGGTTAATGTTTTTGGCTCTCATACTCCTGTTATTCCATTTAGGATTATTTTATCATTCGTTACGTTAGCTTGTGGTTAATGAGTATTGATTACTTTGTTACGTTTTGTTACATTTACTTTTTGTTGCTACAAATAAATCTTTGAAATTTTGGAATGGCTTCTGCCTGAATCCGTAAAAAATTGAACGGATATGTATACTTTTAATTTCTCTTTTACTTTTAAATTTTCAATGCATTATTTTTTATTTAGCATTGGAGTCTTCATGATTTTTTCAGCTATAAGAAGGCCGATTTGCCACCCGCCAAGAAGCAAAAAATGATGGAAGTGGAAATGAAAGAAGATGGGAAAATGGGCCGATCAAGAACGGAGCTCTGCCGTTTCCGATGAAGAATTTGACGTCATTTCCGATGGTTGCCATGACTGAGCCATGAGTTGCTATGACTTAAAGTTAGAAGTCCTGGAGCAAATGGACGCGAAAGATGTTGTTGAACTGACCAAGGTGAATGAAGGATTCCAAGAGATGCTTGTGAGGAATGCGGCACTTGTTTTTGGACAGAACGTTCACGCGATGAAGCATTTTCATCGAGATCCACCGCTGGAATTCAAGAAAAGCTGGAATTCAAATCAAGAAATTCCCATCTTTCATGTTCATCCCAAACCCGAAGGATTCTCTCTGGATGTTAACCGTTTTAACCATCATTAACTAAATCTGAATGCGTCAGCTTTTTTACCTGTCTTAATGAAGTGATCACTTTTAGGCTATTCTGTGACGTGTTTAATCATTATGTTGTCAAGGTACTCTACGGATAATGATGTTGTCAATTAGTTCAGCTAAACTTGGTCATTCTCATTGCATTCCAGATAATCCTTTGCGATTCTATTAACATTAAAGTGCCCGTTATTGTTGTTACACACGTAGATTTGATAGTTTTTTTTGCTACTTTGAACTTTAACTGTTTCCTTGGTGATTCTTGCATTTTATTACAAATAAAGTTTGGAATTTTATTGAGAAAGATGAAAGTTTTGCTGTGAATTCGCGGGAAATCAATACTTTGAGCTTTGATCTTTGAACTTACTTTGAGCCTATGGAAATTTCTTCAATTTCTCGGTCACTCTTTTGCGGTTTCGATTGTTTCGTTTCATTTTTAAATAGATTTTTATCTTTTTAACATCTATGGTATTTAACCAACACAGATTCTTTAAAAAAGTACAGAAATGAGGGGAGAAATAAAGAAAAATTTCAAAAAAGGTGCAATTTCTTTGATTTTGACACAATTTTGAGCTTCATTTGCGAATTTTTAAGGTTTTAAGCCGTTAAAAATTAGGGTTGAACACACTTTTTAAAGAAATTACATCAATTCTAAAGAAAAGGCCAGGAAAATCACAGTGAGAGGTACCAGCCGTTGGAGAACAAGGAAAAAACAAATTGGGACGAGTAGGAACTTTTAAAATCTATGAAAATGACAAATCTATTGAGAAAAATTTCCTCCTGGAGAAAAATAAAGTCAATTTTTCCGAGTTGAGCAATTTTTTTGAGTAGTTTACCGGAAAGTTCAAGGATTTTGAATGAAGCTAATGAAATGAAGTTTAAATGAAACAAAGGAAACGAGTTTATGTGGAGAAAAGGATTCTTTTATAAATTTAAGGATATTCAGGCGAGCTTCAAAGGAAAATTTGTCATGGTTAAAGTAAAGAATCTCAATTCATCCCATCCTCTTCCGCGCAAACGGGACAATCCTTTGAGGGAATCGTGCCCAAATGGGAATCCCGACGGGTTTTCTGAAAGAAATATTGTGATCAGTGAGCCAGACTGGGTGTGTTTAGAGCACAAAGTGGAATGCTACCTAGTGGCTAGGTAGAATTCTAGCCTAGTGGCTTGCTAGCGTTCTAGAAACACTACATTGAAGGTGCCGAAATTGAAGCTAAAGCTCATTTCTTTGCCTGAATTGATTCACCTCTTCAAAACACCGTGAATGCACGGCGTGTCCACACCCGAATAGCTGCAACTCTTCCCTCTTCTCTTCCAGAAATAGTTTGCTTCTGAAATTTCGAGTTCAACCTCTTTGCTCAACGTTTTTAAAGGTAAATTTGCAATTCTACAATTTTTCCTACGAATTCCTTTACCGACAAATCGCGCAAACGCTCCTTTGTCCGTAATGGGTGGCACGGTTGGCTTGTCTGTAATTTGAATTTGAATATGACTCGAGAAAAGTCTAGCAATCAGCTACAACTCACTTGTAGAAGAGATCTGACATCCCGCGAACATCATCCAATGTGGCCGAGTGGCAACACCATTGTAGCATCACCTGAAAACTCTTGTTATCACAAATTTCCCAAAAACGATCTCACCTGAGTCTCGTAGTCTCTTAAAATCTTCACGAGAAGATCCCGCAAACCGGGGATTTCCAGGTCTTCTGGGATCTGAAAAATTGAAAGTTTTAAGCCATTCAAATTGAAACTTCATTATTTCTGTTATTCCTACTTTTTCGATGATGCCCAAAGGGTCGATTGAAGTACCAGCAGTGGCCAAAAGTTGAGAAATATTGGCTGGAGATCGACTTGAAACCACCTCGTTCACCAACAGTGACCACAATTCGTCATCCTCATGCTCTGGAAACGAATTAGATCTGATCTCTGATCTCTGTCTCTGAGCTGCCTTCCAGATCAGAGAATTTTCAAGTTTTCAGGGCTGACATTTGAGTATTTTTGTTGTATAGTACTCCAAGACTGAAACGCTTTCAGGTCCAAATGCTAGATTGTACTTTTCAGCTCTGGAAAACGGTTAGATCTCTGAGCTGCGTTCCAGATTGGAGAATTAGCCGATTTTGAAGTGACTTGAACGTCTAGTTTCCTTGGGTTTTTACCCCGACAGAGGTCGATTGCTTTATCCAAACGATTCTGCTGTTGCACCATCACGTTCAGCGCCTCTCGCCGATTGCCGCTTTTCACCAAGAGGAAGACTCGCTAAAATTAAGAAAATACGGTAAAATACAAAAAATTCGACGAATTGAATAAAAACTCTGGCTGCTGATGGATTACAGTAATTTTCGAAAATAGCCGCCGTTTAGAAAGCGACAAATTTCTGACATAAAAACATATTTTGTTTTGAGCCATGGAAATGATGTCAAAAGTTGTTGTGTGTTCCAGATAGGAGATTTCTAAATTTTCCTTTCAATTGGTTCACCTCATCGTCATATTTCCGGTGGCTACAGATCTCGAGCGCTCGATTCGTGTGGTAGTGCTTAGATTTGCGTAAAAAAGGCAACAATTGAGGGCTGGAAAGGGAAGGGATTGTGGTTTCTTGGAAAATTTCCATTTACCGATCATATTCAGCGAGTAACGAAACCATTTGATCGGCGTACTCATCACCTTCATTCCGTTCGAATAGCTTCTTCAGGTAGGCGAGCTGAAAAGAGACGTGAGCTGCGTGAGCTGCGGAGCTTAAAGGATGAACTTAAAGTGTGACCCCACTACCGTAATCCGCAGCCGTCCGGCGCACGGCGTACGGTGTAGACGTACGGTACTTGGTACACATAATAATCTACAGTAAACGCGTACTCACCTGTAACCTCGGCTCCCTCGCAATCTTCGTCATCACATCCGCCGGATTCACCACCATTTCGTTGTTCAACAGCAATGAAAGCGCTTGATCTTTGTCGATTGTCATCAATTCGGTCAATTGGTCTTTCACCTGCAATTATTTGATTTCTCTCTTCTCTGACAGGCTCACTGTAATCATTCCGGATCCCGGATTCGACTGAAAACCCACCAAATCAAACAATCGATACCTCCTGACCACATTGAAGATGTATTTCTCTTTCGACGAGAAGTAGATCTTCAGCGCAAGGTCGTATTTTCGATCAGCAATATACAAATTGGCCAGCGCGTGGTAGAGATCTTTCTCCTCGTCGGGTTGAATTGATTTCTGGAAATTGAATTGAATTGATAGTCGGCTCTGCTAAACTTCAGAAATGTTCATTTCAGAAAAGTGCCTCTGACAAGTGCTAAAAACACTTTTTCTAGGATTTTCGGTTACGCGAAATCGATTGGTAATTCTTTCAGAGCTGGTTCTTGCTACACTAAGCTTTTACTAGGCTATTGCTGGCTCAACAAAGGCTTGGTGCTGCCTCGAGTGTTGTTAAAGGTCTAGACATGACAGACATAACCTCACTCTTTGCTCACGCGGTGTTTGCGTGTTATTTATCTAGGCTAAGGCTCCGCACATATAGCGTACTCACCGAGCACAGTCTAGTATGCTTAACCACGTTCGAGTATTGGCCAGGCATAAGTTAAGACTGGTTGCCTCCGCTCCGACTGGTTGCCTCCGCTCCGACTGGTTGCCTCAGCTCAGACTGGCTGCCTCAGCTCAGACTGGCTGCCTCAACTCAGACTGGCTGCCTCAGCTCAGACTGGCTGCCTCAGCTCAGACTGGCTGCCTCAGCTCAGACTGGCTGCCTCAGCTCAGACTGGCTGCCTCAGCTCAGACTGGCTGCCTGTTAACGGACATAAGCTAGATCCTAGATCTGCTGATCTAGAAATAAGACACAAACACGTTCTATAAATATTACAAATCGATTCAGTGTGGCTGAAAACCCTAGGAAGGGCACTTGCCAGAGGCATTTTTGAGGCCCCGCCAGGCCATTTTTGAGGGCCACTGGCCCCTCGTCAACCCCTTAAAGCCCCCTGAAATGAAAATTTCTGAAATTTAGTAGAACCAAATATTCGGCTTTAAAGAAAGGCTACTTTTCCATGCAAAACATTCAAAACCTTTAACTTTCGGTAAAACACTAAAACGCACTTAAAATTGCCTTCAGTTAAAGATATTCAGCTAAAGGGAAGCTTGGTGAAAGTTTTCAAATTTTTCATTCTTCTCTACTCCCTAAAAGCGGCGTCAGCCTTTTTGATTTTTGTCGTGTTTGTAGTTTTAACTTTTTTCTTTTTAAAGCATTCTATTGACAATTCGGTGAACTAGCACTATTTAAACATTCCGTTGTAGATTTCAATCGATTTTCAATCGCTAAAACCCCCATTTTTCATCTAGATTTGATATGTTGCACGTTTTTATGTGATTCGTTTGTGGAAAAATTCAGTTTTAGAGAATTGGTAGGAACTGTGCTTAGTGCTAGGTTGTTACCTGTCAGTTTTTGATTTATGACAGGCTTCGTGGAAGTTTAAGCTTTCTTGAGAAAGTTTTGCTTATTATTGACCTTTTCCCGTAGGCAAATCGCTAATTGATCTGTTTTTTATGAAATTAGGAAAGTTGTTGGCTTGAGAAGGTTATGAAAAGCCAAATTTGACGTTTGACTCCATAGAAAACCATTTTGTCACCATAAATTGATTGCTTTTTGTGTTTTCTCTTTCATTTTCCGACAAGAACGAATTGTTTTCTTTTACAGGTGAAAGAATGTCGCTCGAGATGTCGTTTGAAATGAGGAATCTGACGTCTTTTTCGATAGAGAAGCTCTGTTACGATCTGAAGTGGGAAGTGCTGGAGGGAATGGACGCGAAAGATACGATTGAGTTGGTCAAAGTGAATGCGGGATTTCAATGGATGCTTTCACGCAATCCGTCGCTGGTTTTTAACCACCACGTGGGCGAGATTGGAATGCATGGATCGCTGGACGGGAGGTTTCTAATCCGGAAGTTCTCCGTCTCCGACTATATTGATATTGATGCGAGTCATCGTCCACTAAGCAAACGAATTCATTCGTGTGGTACATTGACGATAAGCTTTGGAACAAGTGAGTGCGGCGGACAACTCAACAACGAACACGCGACGATTCTGAATCAATTGAACGCGGTGAGAAGTTTGGATCTCTCATTGCACAGTAAGGAGTGTTTGCTGAAATTTTTTGGCAGTTTCCGCCCGATAATTGAAAAATCCGCGTGGATTCAGCTGGACATTGATTGGTTGAAAGAAAATCAAGTGATCAGCGAACTTTTTGAGAATTTCATTTCAAATCAGCTGAATGACTGCGAAAAAGTCGTCCTGGAGTTTTATTGTCGTTCTGCCGCGGCCTTTCACTTCTACTACGATGCTTTTGCCAAGACTTCGATCAAAACATTGAGAATCGAAACCAGAGTGGATAACTTTGAAGAGATCGTCCGATCAATCATTCAAAAGGGAATCCCAAGCAAGAATTCGAAGGCAGCTTTTTTTGTGGGTTTCGGCGGTTATGAGCGAACCGATGTTACTCAGGGGAGGAAGGCCCGAATCCTCGATTTTCTTTCGCAATTCCCTGGAATGAAGCGATTCGACCTAAAAAATCAGCAAGAAGTCATGAAAAGGGCGACCGAACTCGTGAACAAGTATGGCGGCGGATCGCACTGGTTTTCTTTGGACGGACCATTTTTTCGACGAAAAATCGACGCGAGCAGAGATTGTATCTACATGCTTCCCTGGGGCGGAGGATTCAATCTATTTTTCGCCTTCTACATTGAACCACAATTGGAAATGATCGTGTATTGAGGGTTTTTATCGAGTCTTTTACCGTTTTAGTGCTTTTATTGTGTAATTTTGCCGATTTTTAGTTCTCTAAGAAATAAAGTTGTACAATTTTTCTCTTTTTGAACGATGATTTGTTGTGTTAAAGACACATGGCGATATCTTTTCGCTTTCATTTTCTGACAAAAATGACCGTTTTCTTTTCAGATGCAAGAATGTCGCACGAGATGTCATGTGAAAGGAGGAATCTGACGTCGTTTCCGATGGAGAAGCTTTGTTAAGATCTGAAGTTGGAAGTTCTGGAGGGAATGGACGCGAAAGATACGATTGAGTTGGTCAAAGTGAATGCGGGATTTCAATGGATGCTTTCACGCAATTCGTCGCTCGTTTTCAACCACCACGTGGACACGATTCTCTTGGACGACGGGAAGATTTGGCTCAAGAAGTTTCCGGACTCGCCCGGAGCCACGCTTAATCACGTTCGCCACTTTTCACTCATCAAGGCCATCAATCATGCGATAATTTGACGATTCGTGCCGAAAAGGAACGTTTCACTGATCGGCACACCGAATTCTTCAATCATTTCAAGTCCGTGAACCGTTTAAGACTATTCCTGGGTGACGGCGACGATTTGTCCGTTTTTGTTGGGGTGTCCATCAAAGGACAGCCGACGATTTCACAATTCTGTGAAATCGTCGGCTTTTCGAGATGATCAAGTGGTTAAAGAACGACTCCAAGAATTCATTGAAACAAAGCTCAACGATTGCTAGCGAATCGACTTGGATTTTCGTACGCACGCCTCGTTCTGCTTTTACGACAACGTTTTGGAGAAGGCGCGGGTGAGATTCGTGCAGGTACGGCTTTGGTATCTTAATTTTAAAGTTAATTCCTAACGATCTGCACCATTATTAGCTGAATATCGTTGAAAATCTGGTAAAATGGCACCAAAAGACTGGAAAGTCGTGAGTTTTTAGTTAGCATCAGCCAACTTTACTATTTGAGTGTAAATTTGCTCATTTACGCTAACCCTTAGCGTTTGGATTTCTAGATGTAGCTCTACTGCCCTTTTGACAGGAAATCGTTTTGTTGGGCATAATTATTCCTTGATTTGAAGATATTCAGCTGATAGTGATGAGTAGGGTTGAGCACATTGGCAAATTCAAGTGAATTCGATCATTTTGTTATCAATTTTAAACGGATTGGGTTAAGTAAATTGGCCAGTTTAAGTGTATTAGACAAATTTAAAGAGATTTTCACTTTCAAGAACCTAATTTTCGTCTGGATTTTACCAGTTTTCCTAAGCTCTTTTTTGGGAAAGACTTGAGAATATTAAGCATTCAATATTCTGATTTTATATCAATAACGTTTTTCTTTAGATGTCGACGGCAATGAATGTCTTTCCGCTGATCGTTTCATCGATTGTCAAACATGGGATCGCAAGTCATAAACCTCGAGGCGTCTTTTCGTGTTGACGAGCATCGGCCAGGAATGCCCAAGTTGTCGATTTTCTCACGAAATATCCGGGAATGCGAAGAATTGATGGGGAATGCGGGAAAAACTAATGCGCCTCGGAAACGATCGTTTAAGCGATGGAAATTCGCCATTTGATGCAGAAAGTTCCTGTTTCGATATCAAATCGGTCAGGGATTGCGGGTACATTTGCCCATCGAACTCGCCGTATACTCACTTTTTCACTTTCTATGTGTCATCTGACAATTGTTGAAATCTCTGTTGTTCCGTTTTGTTAACTTTTTTCTCAATTTAAACTTTTCAATTATTGATCTTGCTGTTGCAAATAAAGCTTTACATAGAAAAATGTTGTTTTTGAGGGGGAATTGAATAGTCGTTTTGCGCGACCGTTGACGATTTTTGATACATTGTATTGTGAAAATGGAAAACCCATTGCTTCCCATTGATTCAAACCTCGGCGTCGCTTTTCGTGCCCTCGTGTATCCGTTGCATCGTCAGCGCGGTGAGGGCACCTAAATATATCATCTAACGTTTAAAGATCAAATACTTTATTTATTCATGACTCATTTATCAATAGAAGCACCTGTTTCTATTTCTCAATCTTCCAAAATCGGTCGCCGAAAAAAAATAGGTAAGCGGCGCTCAAATGAATGAAAAATTTCGAATTGGGAAAATTCAACTTTACGGTCTGCTCGAGATTTCCA